GCGGGGGGCTCGCTGATTGGTTGATTGTGAGCGGCGGCTCCTCTTGCGTCAGTCACGTGGCACGCGCGTGCGTCCCGCGTGCGCGTGCCACGTGCCCTCCCGTAAGGTTGACGCGGACTGTGGTTTAGCAATCATCCGGTGCGCTCGGCGCTGCATTAGGATTTAATTTGCGTTTGAACAAAATAAATGTATGTTGAACTTCTTTCGCGCCGTACATAGCCAACCGAGCTTATCGGAGATGCGGGGGAAGGAAAACAAACGATGTATGTGTACATGTTGAACTTCTTTCGCACCGTACGTTGCCAAACGCGCTTATCGGAGGTGCGGTTTGGTGAAGGTTGAGAGACGGCCACTGCACGGTGATGCTGTTTTGTTTCATCATACATCATTGCTGCTGTGACCATTCTCCGTTGCGCTGGGATGCGTCGTCGCTGCGAGGTCGTCTCCGGCGCGTTGCAACCATAATCCTCGTCGAGGCAAGAGCTTCATCCCCTGACGCGTGGAGACCGGGCGATGAGGTGGTTCGGAAGGCTCCCTGGTGAAGAGGCCTCCTCTGCGTGGTGTTTCTGTCTGGACGCGACTCGCTCTCTCTCTCTCACTCCGAGTTGTCGCTCGATCGGTGGCAGCGCGTGCTCCTCACGCCCCTGTAAGCCGGCGTCCCACACGTCCACGTGCGCTGCTGTGTCCGGCTTGACTCGAACCATCTCGCGAGCACGGAGGCGCGACTCGCGTATCGAGGCCCCGAGCCTCACCGCACGACTCTGTCTCCCCCCCCACCCCAACCAACCTGTGCAGGCGATGCCTTGAGACACATGCAGGCTCACTCCGCCGCGCTACCCTGTGCATCACGTGTGACGGACTCGCCCTCGACGGTTGTTATCATTTCCCTCAATCTTGATTTGAAGTTGTCATGACTGCAGGGATCCATACTCTTTGGTTCTTTCGGTAGAGTCACCCCCCTCCCTTGCCCCTCCCCCCTCTCTTACCTATATAACCTCTTACCACGGCATCTCTCTCACTTCAGCAAAAACAATCTTGCTGTGGTTTTCCCACCTGATGATGATTGCTTGTGTTGCAATCGAAACGTCGTGATTTAATTGATTTTATTGTATACCGACGTGACTTTACCGAATAGAACTAAAGAGTCTAATTTCCCTCGTTTACCCGGGGAGGCGCGAGTCGAGATTTGCTGTTTTTAAATCCTTTATATTAAGTTTGCGTGCTTGCTTGCTTGCGTGCTTGCTTGCTTGCTTACGACCGTGCAAATCTTTCGCTCGTTTTTTAACCCACTTCCCGTGATCCAATCGAGCTGACATTTTCCACACAGACTCGTTGTGTGTGACAATTAAGTTCGTGAAAAAAATTCCAAAATTTTACACTGTTTAGGGAAAACTAATTAAATATTTAATTACCAATTGCTGACCCATAGGTGGCAGCCATCTCAAGCCAGAGGACGAGAGGACTCTAGCCGCCACGCATATAAAGGATTTATAGTGAAAAACTTTGTTTTTACGGGTTTGCTTGTTATTGTCCAGGAGGGCCCTGCGTGACAATCAGACGGTTCGCATTCGCTTCGGCCCGAGAGCTGCTACACCTCGAGCTGGCCAAGTGCGCAACGAGCCGAGGACCTCGACAAGCCGAGGACCCCCCCCCCCCCCCCGTTCACTCGTCACTCCGCCACATCGACTCACTCAGACGACATCGCCCGACTCTCCCCAATCATGTTTCGAATCCCTGCCACTCCATGCACGCCGCTCCCTAATTAAGTCGACCTTGCTGTTGACAACAACAAAGACGCGTGAGTTGTGTTTCACCTCATCTTACTTATTCAGATGCGAGCCTCTTCCGATTAAAAACAAACGAGTTTCGTAAATAAGAATGCGTGATTTTACTCGTACGCAATGCAGAATTGAACGTCGCGCACTCACTGGCGGTCAGGAGTCTGCTTATCTCTCTACCATCGCTCCCAGCATGGTTACTGTTGAACTTCACTCGTCGATTACTCCAATGTTGAGGACTCGGGCTACACCAGACACCGGATCGAACCATCCACACGGTTCAACTACCACCACATTGCAGGTCACAACATCACTCATCCACTCACCGACCCACTCACTCGCCCACTCGCTAATTCAACCACCCACTCGTTCGCTCGCCACACTGCAGGTCACCTCGCTTCTCGTTCTGCGTTTTCGCCCTCACTGCGCAACTTTGGAATTCTCTCCTCTCCCTGTCATCCTCCCTTCCCGGTGCCCCATTGACCTTGTGCCCACTCCAGTAAACCTCGTCAACTCGGTGTCACGACGCTGCGCCCTGGGCTTGCCGGACGGCCCCGCGCGTTCGGCAGCAGTGGAGGCCGCAGCCGCCGCCGTCTGCGGGGCAGAGTGCGACCGGGACGGGCACGTGGTGTGGGTCCGGGCACGTGGTGTGGGTCCGGGCAAAGTGCTGCGGGGAAGGACGGGTCGGGGTGCACGTGGAGCATGCGGGGGGAGGGGGGTCCATGGGGAGGAGGAGGTGGAGGTGGCGGAGGAGGTGGTGCAGAAGGTGGTAGTGGAGGTGGACAACGAGTTGGAGGAGTTGGTGGGCGACGAGGTGGAGGAGGTGGTGGTGTTGGATGAGGTCGTGGTGGGGCGCCACGGTGGCGAGATGTTAACTACCTCGCCTGGTGTACAGGAGATTGTGGGCTCCATCCTGACGCCTGCTGCTGTATATTTTGAGTTTGCGTCTCTTTCTCTCTCCCTCTCTCACCCCGTGGCCGCGTAGATCTTTCTCCGGGTCCTGCGGTTGTTTTCCCCTCCACATTTAGAATCAACATCACGCGTTCGGGAGTTTTGGCCGCTGCTATAAATGTCACCGTGATGAATGGCCACTCCGCTGAGCTCTCATCGGTGATAGCCAGGTCGCTTCTGAAAAAAGAGCGACGTAACTCGATAGGCCTTACACCTGATAAATAAAAATAGTTCGTTTAGGATGTTGGAGGTCGCGGTGGAAGGGGTGGTGCGTGTCGCATTTCTTTGTCGTGATAACTTTCTTTGTTGTTGCTTGTGCTTATTGTTTTGGTACCGTTCATATATATATTTTTAAATTTACTTTGTAGTAGTAGTGTGTTCATTTGCTCGCTGTGTTTGCGCGTGTGTGTTCGGCTTCTTTCGCGCCGTGCTCAGCCTGCCAACGAGGCTGTCGGCATGATTGACGCTGCTTTAAAGTATAGCTATGATTGTTGTTGTTGTTAAATAGAGTGCACAACCCCGTTGCCCCTCGCGGCTGATGGCGATCTGTGGCCAACGAGGAAGCCTCAATACCCGCTTTGGAAACAACAACAACAACGACGATGACGATGTCCGTCTGGTGAGACCTCCAGTGCGGCACGGCGGAACACGACGCAGAGTGCCAGCGTACGCGTGACCCCTCACTCCCCCTCACCTCACTCCCCTCTCACCTCACTCCCTCTCACCTCACTCCCCTCTCAGCTCACTCCCCTCTCAGCTCACTCCCTCTCAGCTCACTCCCCTCTCACCTCACTCCCCTCTCACCTCGCTCATGTTTGTATTGCTTTAGTATAAATAAATGTAAATTTTGATTCATATTTATTTTTTCTTACTTTACGTGAACGAAAAGACACAAATTCGCCAGTTTTCTCATTGAAAATAGGTAAATTTCTAAATATCAATGTCCTGGTCACAAAAGCAAAGTTTGTGGGGAATAATAGCCATTTTCTATACTTTTTAGGAATAAGCAATTACGAAATAACACTTACTACCCAGGAACAAAAATTATGTTACATCGTGTAATGCATTTACGATGCCACTGATAATGTAGTTACTACGCCAATGATGTCGCTACTCACACTCCACCCCTCTCTCTCCTCCCCCCTCACCTCTTTCCTCTCCACCCCTCTCACTCACTCCACTCCCAGCCACACGTCCTCTGCTCTCGCGACCCAAGGCGCTCTCACGACTCGCCTCGAGTCAACCTTCGCCCGCCGTTTGCTTCGCTCATTCTCCTCCTCTTCCTCCTTCCTCCGCTGGCCCCTCAATTAGTAACTCCATTCCCCCCCACCACCACCACCACCATCCAGTATTCCGTGCTGCCGACTCCCTGTCCAGGGTCCGGGCCGTGTTTTTCTCTGCAGCAGATCGTGGCCCCACGGGTTATGCAGAACGCGCACGTGTAGGCGCTGTACCAAATATGCATTTTTGCTTTTAAATTATCTCGATTGAAAACTAATTTCTGTTAGGACCGATTGTTGTGTTTATGGTTTGTTGTCGTCGTCCCCCCCCCTCCCCCCCCGTGCACCTCCGAATAGCACGGTTGGCTATGCACGGTGCGAAAGAAGTTCAACATACGTGCGTACGTGTGTGGTAGGGCGAAGCTGTAACATGACGTGTGGGTGACTCCCATCTCTTCCCACGACGTCTGGCCAGCTTCGCAGAGAAGGCAGAAATGCCCTCTCAACGGGGCGCTCCAGACCTTTCATCAGTTTAGGCAGTGGCCTGAGCACGGTTGGCTATGCACAATGTGGAAGAAGTTCAACATACAAACAGCACATTGCGCACGGATCTCTGCAGAGCGCCACCGGTGGTGCACTGCTACGCAGAATCCCTGCGTCGTCCCAGAGCGGACCCTCTTGGGATACAGAGCCCCCCACCCCCACCCCCACTTTCCCCCACCCCAACCCAACTCCCCCCCACTCCACTCCCCCCAACCCCACTCCCCCCCACCCCAACCCCCACTCCCCCCCACCCACTCCCCCCAACCCCAACTCCACCCACCAAACACCCACTCCCCCCCACCAAACACCCATTCCCCCCCACCCAACCCCCACTCCCCCCCACCCACTTCCCCCAACCCCCACTCCCCCCACCCACTCCCCCCACCCAACACTCACTCCCCCCCCACGGGACGGGTCGTGTGGCAGCGTGGTCGTGAGAGAGGACGGTGCCTGCTGCGACCACCGCGTCTCCGACTGAGTGCGTGTGTGTGCGTGTGTGTGTGTGCGTGTGTGTGGGCGTGCGTGTGCACGCGTGTGTGCGCGTGCGTGCGTGTGTGTGTGCGCGTGCGTGCGTGTGCGTGCGTGTGTGTGCGCGTGTGTGTGTGTGAGTGCGTGTGCGTGTGTGCGACGCACGCCACTCGCACGCAAGCCTCGAGCAAGAGAAGGAAGAGGAGACGCACGACACTACACAGGCATGGGTTCATTCCCGTGATCTGACAGAATTTGTGTTCTTATCCAACCACGAGTTTGGAAGCGGAACGAGGCCAGCGAGCGCTGGTGGATCGGGCGCGCGCACTGCGCGGAACTCCCCTCCAACGCCCGGGCGCGTCGATGGTCCCCCATCTTCTCCCCGACTGATGGCCCAGGGTGCGAGGGCAGTACAGCAAGTGGGTTCATTTCCCTCTTGCTACGGGAGGTTGAGTGTTACTAACCTCCCTCCCCCCGTCACACTGCGTGAGTTGTCTCCGGGAACTCCGGTTTATTGCCACAAGTATGAGCGCTCGTTAACGGGGGTTTGTCCAAACATCCAAACAAGTGTAGGACCGGCAGAGCTTGGGCAGACTGTTGGCTGTCGATTGATTTTCTGCGCCACCGAATAATTATCTTGCATGGGTATTACACATTACACATTCTAGACAAATATAAAAATATAAATCAGCAACGACCCGAGGGGATGCGATGAGATGCTAACGATGGATGTACCCGGTGTCTCGCGCAATTTGGATCACGGATGACTCGAGAGTTACTTTGGGGCACATCATTTTAGATATCAGTTAAAAGTGGAATTAAATTACAAGAGATGGTGATTTTCCTGCTGAAATGAGCATTGTGATGGTACTGATCTCCTGTTCGCAGCTCTGAGCCAGTGGTGGAAATTCCTCATTCCTGTGGCGGGGCAAGTCTAACCATAGGACAGCCACTACAAACCAGTGACTCATTTTTATCTACCCCAGAGGGACGATGGGCTGTGTTAACTTTCCAGCCAGGATTTGAAGTCGGCAACTTCCTTTCCTATACTCTGCACTCTAATCGTGTTTGTGAGTCTCGTGTTTGTTGTTGTGACGTTCTGACCGCCGTGCCCCCACTGGACCCTCTGTGAACAAGAGCTTCACAGCTCATCGGATTCCTCCGGTCTCAGTAATATTCAAACTCCGGTTGCGAGTCGCCCGCTCTCCCGGCGAGGCGAAAAGACCAGAAAACCGCGTGACGACGCAGCGTGGTGACGTCACAGACGACGTGCCCCCTACGTGACGGCTCAGAGCAAGGCGCAGGTGCGCGACGAGCCGCCGCGTCTGCCCGGCCCCGTGGCCTCCTCCTGCCCCCTCGTGGTCCCCGCGGCCCCAACGCCGCCGTCGCCGCCGTCCTCATCCTGCAGCCCCCGCGTCCACTCGGCCCGCGCGGCGGCCTCCGGCTGCTCCCGGCACGCGCCGCCCGGGGCGCTGGGCCTGCAGGAGCGCACGCTGGACGACGCTTTGATGTAGCGCAGGGGGTCGTACCTGTGGATGGCAACCACAGCCCGTGCAGAGGCCGTGATCCGCCGCGGTGAGTTAGGAGCGACCTTCGCTGGAAACCGTCACCGGCAACGGCGTTAACGGTGAATTGCGGTGTTCACCATAATCGTCGTGGTTGGCTACGTACGGTGCAACAAGTTTAACACAAACATTCAACTTGGCGGGCAACAGGATGCGGTGACGGGGGTTCTACTCTGGCCAATTGCACTCAGTTTAAACTATAAACTGAAAGTAAACAATATTTTTTATTTTACTAGGTAAGGCCCGCTGAGCTATATAGCTCGTTTTCAGAAGCGACCTGGCTATCACGAATTATATAGCTCAACAAATTGGCTTATCACGTGGAAATCTATAGCAGCAGCCAAATACTCTAACCGCACGTTTATAAATGTGGAGGGGAAAACCGGAAGACCCGGAGAAAAATCCACGCGACCTCGGGAAGAGAGACACCGCAAACTCCAAATATACAGCAGCAGCAGGCGTCAGGGTTGGGAACGAACCCACAAACTCCATTTTGTCTCAACAGTCTTGAGCCAGTGGTGAAGTTCTCCATTTCGCAGAACAACCACTGTTGAATTCCCCAGAAAATGGTATCAATTTTATCGACCATGTGGAGATGATGGGTCCAGTCATCCCCCCAAGTAGGATTCTAACCCCACAAATTTCCGAATGTGAGCCATGCTCACTCGACCGCTGAGCCTTGTGGTCCACTGTAATGTTCATCTTCTTGGTTCTTTCGGTAAAGTCACGTAGAATGGAAATAATAAAATAATAAAAATAAAACATTATAAAATAATTCTCACGACGTTTCGGCCACAACGCAAGCAGCCGTCCTCAGCTGAAGAACAGGTCTGTCAGAAAGACAGCATCTGAATGAACACCACCAGGCTTGGCAGCGTATATTTAAGCTGGGTTGGAGGGGGAAGAGCGCCTTAACAAAGGAATTTGCATATCAAGAGGAATTTAGCATATTTATGTGAAATGCAGGTATGTGATTGGTACTATTTATGCCCGTGCATTATGCAGGATTAGCAGCATCAAAGGGAGGGGATATTGGAAATGCAGGTACGTGATTAGTACTACTTATGCCCGTGCATTATGCAGGATTAGCAGCATCAAAGGGAGGGGATATGGGAAATGCAGGTATGCGATTAGTACTACTTATGCCCGTGCATTATGCAGGATTAGCAGCATCAAAGGGAGGGGATAGGGGTAGCATTAATAAAGGGAAGGAGTGTTAATAGTATGTAGCTGCAGTAACTAAAACCACCACGTAAACAACTAAAGTATAAACTACATAGTATCATCAATATACTAAATATACTTTACAATAAGCTGAGTTACTAACAGTAAGTAATACATTACAATTCTACGTCGTAAAAAATATGATATGCTTCCATCTAAACTTTATTCTCTTACATCACACGAGTCTACACCGTACTATATACTGCCATAGACAAACCCAACATTAAATTATATACTGTATTGCTATAAACCAACCTAAACCTTATACATTGTAATATTACACTATGTATTATTCTACCCACCCTAATGTATATCACACTGCTGTATATTCACTATACAATTACGATACTATATATTACTCTGTACATTGTATTAAGCATATAAACTTAATACTATTTGTTATTATACACTGTATCATTGACCGTCGTGTGAAAGATACTAAGAGGAAGCAACGAAATATGTCAATGGGAGAGTAGTGAGAGGAAACTTGCAGCGGAGCAAAGAATCCATTCCCTGCAAAGAATACAATGCCAGTGAGTGGAACGCAGTCTGAAAGTCACCGTAAATGTGAACACAATCAGTTAAGATCCGAAATGGTTTATTACGTCCTTCCAATGATTGCTAAGCCAGAATCCATCTTCTCGGTTGAAATTGTCTCTGTGTTTGTATATGTGGATCGCCTCATGAACAAATCTTTCATGGTAGCCAGATGGCTTGCCGAGAACCTCTGTCTTGGAGAAGTCAATATCATGTGAGCCCACTGAATTGTAACAGTGATCTGCCACGGCTGAGGTGTTTGTCCTACCGTGTTTCAAGTCTGCTTTATGCTCACGGCTGGTGACTGCCAACTCATCGATGTGCAGTCCGTTCTCTTCTGTGACGTGTTACATCCATTTCATCACGCGGTTGTGCAGCTGCCTCGCATAGCGTCATCTCACAAGGCGGGATGCTGCTGGATGCTTCTAGATGCTACCTACATGCCTCAGTCTTTGCTTGGCCAGCATCTAACGTGTTATCGCGGACCATGCGTTACATGATACATTATCATGACACGATATTCGTTTCAGAACGCGGTCGTTCTTCGGAAATGCAACTCCCACCGCCTTGCAGCAGAATGGGCTGCGTCTGGCACGAGCGCTGGACGCTTGGCAGTGCTGAGTGCTCACCCCAGGGCGAGGCGCGGGGGGCAGCGGAACTCGAGACGCAGGACGTATCCGAGGCGCGTGCAGGCCAGCACCACGCAGGCCCACGCCGGCCGCGCCTCGGGCCCCAGTTCCTCGCCCGAGGGCCCTCCCCGCGTCTCCATGGCGACCAAGCGCGTCACCGTCGCGTACACGTACTGCACCTTCAGCAGGATGCCTGCGCCGAAGGGGAGGAGAGGGGGGGGGGGGGTACGACTCCCGGTGTCAGCGCGAATGCGGCGGTGGCGGTGGTGAATGGCGCGGCGGTGGTGAATGGCGCGGCGGCGCGGGCGCGTTGGGGCGGCTCGGTGCGGCGGGGCTCACCAGTCACGACGCACCACACCTTGATGGAGCGGTCGCGCGAGCCGGTGAACAGGAACCGCTCCTCGGGGGAGAAGGCGGCAGAGGTGACGCCCTGGTAGAAAGCTCCCTGCGCCCCCCCACACACAGAGACAAAGATGCCCCAGTGTGGCCTTGGTTGGGGCGAGCGCTGTTAGCGAGCAGCACCTACGAAGGCCGGCACGGCGCACGAGGGGCGGCCAGTGTCACGCCCCGCCACATTTGTCTCCCCAGTAGCGATTTTTTACACATCGCACCAGGTACTCAGTTGGGGCTGAGTCGACCTATGGGAGGCCCAGGACCGGTTCTGACAGTCGTCACTGGTGTGATTGGTCGTGAGCAGAAATGAAGAGCAGCGCGCTGACCACCGCACTACCGCTCCCCACAATGCACCCACACACAGGCACATAGACCGGCAAACACGCACGAACGCACGGGCTCTGGTGAGCCATGCTGGGCGGCGATGCACGCACCCCCGGCGCTCACCTGGTACGTGTACTCGTGCAGCACCTGCCAGGTGCGCGCGCACCACAGCCGCTGCAGCGTCCCATCGCAGCCCGCGAAGGCATATCGCCCGCCGGGGCTCAGCAGCACGCACGAGACGCGCGTGCCGTAGCCCTCCAGCTCCACGCAACGCTCTCCGCCGTCTCCTACGCCGCCGCCGCCGCCGCCGTCGTCGTCAGCGCGGTCCTTGGTCCGGGACGATCCCTCGGGGACCGACGCCGCCGGCTCCCGGTCGCCTGTGCCGGCGGGCACGGGCGGTCCCCGCAGCGCGATGCCCAGCTGCCCCGAGTCGCTGCCCCACATTGCGCCGGCCAGCCCGGGCAGCAGCGCCACGGCGCTCAGAGCCCCGCGGCACGGTGCCTGCAGCACGCACTCGCGGCGCCACGTCTGCACGCGACGGAGTTGACCGCGACAATCGCATCCCCCCGCACTCCATCATCCGCCATTGTCGCGGCACCACCCCCCCGCCCCCCCCCCCCCCCCCACCGGCGCGGCTGGTACCTTTGTGCAGTGCACGGCGACGCGGTTGGAAGAGAGGCCCACGGCCAGGCGCGAGTCCCCGTCCCCCAGCGCCAAGCACGTGACACTCACCGCCCCGGCCACCCCCAGCTCGGCCGCCACGGCCCACGGCGCGTCGGCGGGGGGCACGGCCCCCTCTCCGGCGCTCTCCTGCAGACAACGCGCGGCCACTCGCTTCGGTCACTCGGCACCGTTAAAGCCGCACCTCGTCTCGACCATCCCCGGCGACCCACAGCGGCCCGGCCGAGGGGGAACCCCGGTGGTAGCCGTGCCGTAAGCGGAGCGAGGTGAACGCGGCACCCGCATGCAAGTGGGTATATCCCAGGGGGTAACGGCAACCAAAACACCAAGGTAGAAGAGCCATTGGTTGTTCTAATTCGGTAAAGAAACCCTCAATGAGGGGAGTGAGTGGGGTGAGGAGGGTGAGGGGAGTTAGTGGGGTGAGGAGGGTGAGGGGAGTGAGAGGGGTGAGGGGAGTGAGGGGAGTGAGAGGGGTGAGGAGGGTGAGGGGAGTGAGAGGGGTGAGGAGGGTGAGGGGAGTGAGGGGAGTGAGAGGGGTGAGGAGGGTGAGGGGAGTGAGGGAGGTGAAGGGGGTGAGGAGGGTGAGGGGAGTGAGTGGGGTGAGGAGGGTGAGGGGAGTGAGGAGGGTGAGGGGAGTGAGTGGGGTCAGGAGGGTGAGAGGAGTGAGGGAGGTGAGGGGAGTGAGTGAGTGGGGTGAGGAGGGTGAGGGGAGGTGAAGGGGGTGAGGAGGATGAGGGGAGTGAGTGGGGTCAGGAGGGTGAGGGAGGTGAGGAGGGTGAAGTGGGTGAGCGAGCGCCGTTGCCGTGGCGATGCTCACCGCGGAGTCCAGCTGTGGAGTGAGCGCCAGCACGAGGCCTGAGCTGAGGCCGACGAGGATGAGGTCGCGACCCCGCGCACACTCCACGCTCGTCACGTGCGCCGGGCAGCTCACGAGCTGGCGCGGCGCTCCTGGCATGGCGCCGCGGTGACAGCAGCAGCAGCGGCAGTAATGTCCATGTTTACACACCGCAACAGGTACTCTTTGAGGCTGAGTCGACTTAGGGGAGGCCCAGGACTGGATCGGATAATCGTCACCGGTGGTGGCCGTGAACGGGATTCGAACTCGGGTTACCGAGTTTGTAGCGCAGCGCGCTAACTTCTACACTACCGCTCCCACACCCGTGTATGTGTGTGAGTACACACACGTCTATGTATCTGTGTGTGTACTCACACACACACACATCTGTGTATGTGTGTGAGTACACACACGCACACCTGTGTATATGTGTGTGAGTACACACACGCGCACACACACCTGTGTATATGTGTGAGTACACACACACACACACCTGTGTATATGTGTGTGAGTACACACACGCATCTGTGTATGTGTGTGAGTACACACACACGCACCTGTGTATGTGTGTGAGTACACTACACCAACCTGTGTATCTGTGTGAGTACACACACACCTGTGTATGTGTGAGTGAGTACACACACACTCATCTGTGTGAGTACACACACACACACCTGTGTATCTGTGTGAGTACACACACACACACCTGTGTATCTGTGTGAGTACACACACATACACCTGTGTATATGTGTGAGTACACACACATACACGCACACACACCTGTGCGCGTGTCCCACAGGACAACTCGCGACGCCTCCTCCATGTCCTGCAGCACCACGGTGGCCGCGTCTACCGTGAGGGCCACGAGGCCGCTGCGGTCGTGGAACGGGGGGCTCAGGAGCCCCCCGGCGCTGCCGCCCCCGGGGTCCCCGCCACGCAGGCGCCTCTCACCCACGTCCCACACCTGCCAGGAGGCGCGGAGGGAGGGGGGCAACGCCATCACGGCACGGGCACAGGGGCTTACCGACACCCGCCGGTGAGTCCGTGGTGCATGACGGTGGTAGCGACTTTGGTGGCGGCGGCGGTGGTGGTGGCCGCGGCGGTGGTGTTGGTGGCGGTGATGGGCGTGTCGCTGGTGACTCATGACGGTGGCGTGGGTAGTGCGCGGGCGGTGCGGTTGGCGGCACGGTGGTGCGTGCGGAGGTTGCGGTGGTGCCACCTTGAGGTAGTAAGCCTGGCGCGACGCCGACACCAAGATTCCGTCGGCGGCGAGGCACAGCGCCGTGACGGCCATGCCCATCCCCTCAATGCACTCGCGCAGCGAGAGCCCGTCCCGCAGGTCCCACACCTGAGCGCCGCACACGGCACGCGCGTCGCACGTACCAGAGCAACGCACACGTTAGCTCGCTCCGCCATACACGCCTTGTTGTTCTTCCCCCCGCACCACGGGTTAGCACGGTTGGCTAAGTACGGTGCGATAGAAGTGCAACGTACGTACGCACCGCTCCACGCCACCACAGCGCGCCCGGAGACCGTGGCTCTGAATGCCGAAGAGTTTACGACGACGGAGCGAAAGCCGTGACCGCCGACCGCACGTTCAGAATCGGAATCTTTATTTATATTTGAGGAGTCCGATGAACTATGAAGCTCTTTTCACAGATGTCCAGTAAGGGGGCACGGGGTCGTTACAATGGCAAACGATACAAAACACAACGGGAGTGCAAAGTATAGTAAAGGTAAGCAAATCGTGTAAAATAAATACTTAATTCCCCCTACCTCTTATCCCCCCCCCCCCCTTCTGTATATGGTTCAGTAGCGTCGGGACTGTCCTGCGGGTTCCCGTGACATCTGGTTGTTACGCGAAGCCGCTTGTACCGTGCTCGCGTTTTGTTACAATGAAAAAGAAAATACCTGGAATCGACAAAGTATCTAAGAATATAAACTTGCAGGCCCGGGCACACGGCCCGGAGTCTGCGGCAAAAGGGCGCGTCGCTCACCCCGCTTCAGGAGCACCACGCCTCACCGTGCCCACCGCTAGCGGTCGTGGACGTCGTTGTTACAAGCTGGTCTGACGCACACGAAACGAATGACCGCCCTCCGTATGCCCATCCCCGAACCGTGTGCGGCGAGCCCCTCGCTTAAACACGCGGTGTTCCATAGCTGTCAAGCCATACTACGGTTTACCCCGTATTCTTGTACAGGGACATTGCGTTTTCAGGTCCATACAGCGTAAAGCCGTTTCAATGCGGGCAACAACAAAAAAGGTCGATTTGTTTGTGTTTCTCCCTTGTGGCTGGTACTGTGTAGGATGAACGTTGATATTTATAAGTGCACGGGGGTGATCAATAATGTCTGAATTGGTCCTGTAATCAGGTAGGGCGCTGATAAGGGGTTGACAGGTATGTAAGTGGTGAGTGTACTTGTGGTGATCGTATTATTTGTTTGCGTTTCTCCCTTGTGATGGGACTTTGCAGGATGAACGTTGAGATGTATAACGACACAGGGGTGATCAATAAGGTCTGAATTGGTCTGTAATCAGGTAGGGCACTGTATGTAGTGGTGAGTGTACTTGTGGTGATTGTATATTTGTTTGCGTTTCTCCCTTGTGATGGGACTTTGCAGGATGAACGTTGAGATGTATAAGGGGCACGGGGGTGATCAATAATGTCTGAATTGGTCTGTAATAAGGTAGGGCACTGATAAGGGGTTGACAGCAATGGTGTTTACACAGCAACGCATTGTCGCTGTTCTTCCGTTCGGGAACACTTTTCGCGCACCGCAACGCGGAACGCGCGTCCACCGTTGTTAGAACGCCGTTTCTGAGCGGTCGACGGCGAAGAGAGTCACGCGGAATGATGCAGTAACGCGGCGGTGCAGCCTCGGTTAGTTTCGTCTGTGTGCGCAGGTCGTCGTATCTCGCCAAAACTTTGCCGGTACATTATTTACGGGGAAATTGTCGTCGCTTCAACGTGTTAAACGAGGATTCGCCGTACATTGCGCACACACCGCTGTACGTCGCCGCACCATGCAACACATTTATAAACTCGCATTATAGTTATTGAGATTATTTTGCTGCTATAAATCTCCACGTGATGAGCCAATTTTGTGGAGCTATCAGTTGTGTCCAGGTTGCTTCCGAAAAAAACAAGTCACGTTCTCACCCTGGCGCTCCTGCTGGACATCTGTGAAGAAGAGCTTTATAGCTCTTCGGATTCCTCCCTCCTCCCGGTATAGCTCAATATTCTGACTCTGGCACACCACCCACGCCGCCCCCGTACGCCGCGGCGTCTTGCCAATGCAAGGGGGAGGGGGGCGGAAGGCGAGAGAGGCGAGCGGTGCCAGCAGCGGGCCCGGGGGGAGATGCCGGGCGAACCTTGATGGTCTCGTCCAGCGAGGCGCTGATGAGGGCCGTGCAGCCCGAGAAGACGGCGGCCTCCACGCGGTCCTGGTGGCGCGGCTCGACGGCGCGGCGCGCGGGGGCCTCGCCGGCGCCCCGCAGGTCGAACACGCACACGCGCTTGTCCACTCCTAACGCACGCACGCACACACTTACACATACACCCTTACACACGCACACGCGCTTGTCCACTCCTAACGCACGCACGCACACACGCTTGTCCACTCCTAACGCACGCACGCACACACTTACACATACACCCTTACACACGCACACGCGCTTGTCCACTCCTAACACACGCACGCACACACACGCACTTACATACGCACTTGCACACGCACACGCGCTTGTCCACTCCTAACGCACGCACGCACGCACACACTTACACATACACCCTTACACACGCACACGCGCTTGTCCACTCCTAACGCACGCACGCACACACACGCACTTACATACGCACTTGCACACGCACACGCGCTTGTCCACTCCTAACGCACGCACGCACACACGCACTTACATACACACTTGCACACACACACGCGCTTGTCCACTCCTAACGCACACACGCACTTACATATGCACTTACACATGCACGCACACACCTACATACACACGCACACACGCTTGTCCACTCCTAACGCACGCACGCGCACACACGCACTTACATATGCACTTACACCTCACGCACGCACACACCTACATACACACTCACACGCGCTTGTCCACTCCTGACGCAATGACACGCACGCACTTACACATACACCCTTACACACGCACACACGCTTGTCCACTCTTAACACACACATGCGCACACACGCACTTACATACGCACTTATGCACGCACGTGCTTTTCCACTCCTAACGCACGCACACACCTACATACACACACACACGCACTTATCCCCTCTTAACGTATACACACACACTTACACACGCACGCACACACGTTTGTCCACTCCTAATGCACATGCACGCACACACTTACATACGCACTTACACACGCACACGCGTCTGTGTTATCTGAACCGATCCTGGGCCTCCCCTAGGTCGACTCAGACTCAAATGAGTACCTGGTGCGGTGTGTAAACATCGCCACTAGGGAGACAAAGGCGGCCCAGCGTGGTACTGGCCATCCACCCCCTGGTGCGCCGTGCCGGCCTTCACAGAGGTGCCAACTCCGCTAACGGCGCTCGCCCCAACGGGCTGCCGAGGCTACACAGCGGGAGACGTTTGTTTGTTGCGGGGGTGGGGGGGTGGGTTGTGCGAGGGTCACGTGCGTGTACTGCGAGCAGCCGAGGTGGGGGCAAAGGCGCGGGCTCTGACCGACGGCGGCGAGCGTGCAGTCGGGGCTCACGGCAATGAACCTGGGCTCGGCTCCCAGCGCCTCGGTGCCCCGGCAGCTACCGCCGTCCTCCAGCGACACCTGCGCCTCCCGGGCACGGGGGGGGGGCACGGGGAGGGCACGGGGGGGGGGGGCACGGGGGGGCACGGGGGGGCACGGCGAGCGCGTGAGAGCGACGGGGGTAACCTCGCGCCACCTGGCCACGGTGTCCTCAGGGGGACAGCTGGAACACTCTTGGGCGAGGCAACATTGCGCCCAAGGTCACAAATGTTCACAGACGATGAAGGGGGGTGAAGACTCGGAACCTTCCAATCACCGTGAATTTGCGAGCGAGGCGTTCGGGCAGCGTTGCGGTTGGCACACTTCTTCAGGGCTTCGATTTCATGGTGCGTGTTGTGTGTGTCATCACTACAGCCACGGCTGCGATGTGATGGTGGTGTTGGTGGATCATGCCGATTCTTTGTGTGGCTGTCGACTCAACAACTTATAATTTTGTTACATTTGAGAACCCAGCTTAATCGCGGGCAGCTGAAACCTGGACCCCAACCCAGAATGTCAGAGGTTGCCGGCTTGGTTCTCTCACTGCTGAGTCACCCAGCTACCCACAACGCTTTAAAATTCCACCCAACATCTGTATTTTTGTGAAATATGTTCACCCACGTGGGAATCGGCAGAGCTCAGAATCGCTGCAGGAGAAGCCAGGAGCTGATCCGATGGTCGAAGCCCTCCCCACTTTAGAACCACACACAACCGACCAGCGTCCGGTCGGAGGCAACTCCGTCATAAAATATGAAAAATTAGGTTTGTACCCTTTCTGGCAATAAAACGTGTTAAGATGTACTCTTTGGTTATTTTGGTAAAGTCACATAGGTAGAAAAATAACAGATCACGACGTTCAGATCGCAACACAAGCAATCGTCAACAGGTAGGACAACCAGAGCAAGAAAAAACTGAATTGCTGTGGTTATCCCACCTGATGACGATTGCTTGTGTTGTGATCGAAACGTCGTGATCTATTAATGTTTCTACCCACGTCACTTTACCGAAAGAACCAAAGAGTATGGAATCCTACAGTCACGAAAGCTTCACCAAATGGATACCTTTGCAAGGAATGAAATCTGCAAACAAACATACTCTGGTAATGATATATGCATTGTATTTGAAATTGATTGTCTTACACCAGAGACAGCCCTCTTTATGGCCTAGTCTCACCAGAGTCAGACACACGTGCTGTGTGTGGTTAATGCAGGACTTGATTCCTTACAAACGGTATCAATTTGGTGTTTGAAACCTTGTTTTATTGCCAGAAAGGGTAAAACCTTTTCTTATTTTTCATACTTTGATACTGGCCAAAAGGTTATCCCATGATATCCATCGTAAAATGTTGGGCGTGGAAAAATACAACGGGACGAGAGGAGGCCACGGAGCGCGACGCCAGACGAAGCCGCACCGGATTCGCCGGAACCTCACCGTGACAAGCGTGCCACCGGCCAAGCCGGCCAGGAGGAGGCCGCGCCCGGCCACGGCCACGCACACGGGGCGCCCCGCAGGGCCCGCCGGCCCCGGCACCCACGCGTCCAGACGCCGCTTCAGCAAGCCGGCGCCCGGCTCCACGAGGCTCACGCGCACGCCGCCGTCGCCGCCGCCCGCTGCCGCGGTCACCACCGCCACGGCGCCCTCGCCGTCCCCGCCGAGCGCGTGGCAGCGCGACGGGCCGCCCAGCGGCTCCGATAGGAGCGGCGCTCCGCTCCACAGGGAGAACGAGCGGAGCTGCACGGGGGGGGGGGGGGGGGGCACAGGGGGGGAGAACAAGGGGGGGGGGGAGAGCACGTGGGGGGCATGAGGGGGAGTACAGGGGGGGGGGTGAGCACGGGGGGGGGGGGGATAGCACGTGGCAGTGTCCTTCAGGGCGACTGCCACGTGGTTGTGGACGGCATCTGCGCTGGGCAGCGCTCTGTGCAGGTCTACACTGCTGACGAGATGCCCGATGTCAACACGCACCAAGCAAAATCACGAATGAATAAACGAAGTAAGAAATGGCACCAAAGACGAGAGTTGTGGCCAAAAAGTGACGACGAGCCGATAGACCCGCGCGGAAACCGCCCCACCCCCCACGCTCACCGTGGAGTTAGTGAAGAGGTGGAACTCCTCCCGCTCCTCGCTCACAACGATGAGGCTGTACGACACCTCCTCCTCCTCCTCCTTGCCTGAGGTGGCGGCGGCGGCGGCGGTGGGGCCGGCGGGGCCGGTGGGGCCTGGGGAGCCGCTGGGGCCGCTGGGACCGTTGGGGCCGTTGGGGCCGGCGGGCGCCGTGGACACGAGCGTCACCTGCTTCCCCGTGACGAGGCTCCACACGCGCGCCGTCGAGTCACGCCCGAACGACACCAGCAGGTCGGCCCGGCGGCCCAGCACCAAGGACAGCACTTCGCCTGCGGTACAAAGACAAAGGTCCCCCGTGTAGCCTCGAACAGACTGTTGGGGCGAGTGCTGCTAGCGAGTAGCCGTGAGGCTGAGATCGAACTATTGGAGGCCCAAGCCCACGTTCAGATAATCGCCACTGGAGGTGTTGGCCATGAATGGGTTCTCAACTCTGGTCACCCGATTCGTAGGGCAGTGCGCTAACCACTGCACCACCGCTCCACATTCACCTGCCACACAAAGACAAATATCTCCCGTGTAGCCTGTCATGGACTGTCGGGGCAAGTGCTGTTAGCAAGCATCTGTAAAGGTCGGTACAATACAAGAGGAGTTTGGTGGCCAACACCACGCCGGGCCGCCTTTGTCTCCCCAGTAGTGATGTTTACCCACTAGGTAGTCATTTGAGGCTGAGTCTAAGCTGAACATTTTATTTATTTGATCAGGTAAGGCCCACTGAGCAACCTGGCTATCACGAATGATAGCTCAACGAAGTGTCTCATTGTGCGGAAATCTATAGCAACTAAATACTCGAAGCACGTGAAGTTGATTCTAAATGTGGAGGGGAAAAACCAGAGGACCCGGAGAAAAAAATCCACGCGACCACTGGCAGCACAATGCAAACTCCTAATATAGAAGCGTCAGGGTGGGGATCGAACCCACAACCTCCCCTGTATACCAGGCGAGGTATACAGGGGAGGCTCGGAGCGGTTCAGCTACCACTCACCACCAACGCTGTCCAAGAGCGGGGATTGAACTTGGGTCGCCGGATTCGCGCCGCGGTGCCGCGACCGCCACCTGCGTCACGCACGACAATCGCTCGCCCAGTGGGCCCACGTGCTCAGCCCCACTCACCCGCGTGCCCGGCGAGCGTGTGGGTGGCCTCGTCCTCCTGTAGGTCCCACACGATGATGGTGCCGTCCAGAGAGCCCGCGGCCATCACCCTCCCGCTGGCGCTCAGAGCCAGCACCGAGACGCCTGCACCCGGGGGGGGGGGGCATGGGGGGGGCACCCACGAGACAGGTCCCAGCGTCGCTGAGCTCACACCCCGTGACCCCACACGAGAGGAAAAGCGACACGCACCACCCCCTCCACCGCGACCTCCACCCGGAGCAACATCCTAAACTAAACTAGTTTTTTTTTTCACCAGGTAAGGCCCCACTGAGCTATGTAACTCTTTTTCGGAAACGACCTGGCTATTACAAACGATAGCTCAACGAAGTGGCTATTCATCACGTGGACATTTCTAGCGGTAAAATACTCTTAAAGCGATCACGTTGATTCTAAATGTGGAGGGGAAAAAACTGCAGGACCCTAAGAAAAATCCACGCGACTACTGGGAGAGAGAGAGACACGCAAACTCGAAATATACAGCAGGCGTCAGGGTTGCGATCTAACACATGACCCCGTGTATACCAGGCGAGGTAGTTAACATCTCGCCACCGTGGCACCCTCCTTGCCACCAGCCTCCTCCTCTACCGCCGTCACTTTACTGCCACGTGACACACCTGAGCATCGTCCCTTTGTCTGCCCGGTCATCATCCCATCACCTTGTCCCATCATCATCATCATCATCCCCTCCACGGGTTTTGCCATCGTCCCCACCACCTATATTTCAGAATCAGAATCTGTTATTTAGACTGGAGGAGGAATCCGATGAGCTATGAAGCTCTTTTATCCCCCACAGATGTCCAGTTTGCACAGACGACCATTACCATCGTCCCGATCGCCCTCGATTGCCATCGTCCCATCGCCCGCTACGCAGTTGTTAAACGACAGCCGGCATAAACCGGGAGCCGGTCGCGGGGCCCTAGAACCAGGAACCGCCGACGGACGCGCCGACCGGCTCGCACGGACGTACACAAACCGCACGGCGGCCCAGGTCACCGCGTGGGTTCCCCCTCGTGTCTCAGCTGCGAGGTAAAGGCGGAGCCCTGCAACCGCTCGCTCGCGCCACCGCTGCTGGACAGTGCCTCCACTTAGAGGGCGCTCTAGGGGGGATCATTTGGTCTACTCTTCCACGCTGATCGGAAAACTTGGAAGAGGCAGCTGTACCCACACTTTACCCCGCCACATGATCGACCAACAGTGGTGAACCCATTCACACCGCTGGGTGGACAGAGGCTGTGGGGGCGTGGGGGGGGAGGCTTTGAGAAACTTGCCCCGCTGTGTCACTGCCGCGCTGGGAAATGGAATCTCACCTTGTGCCCTCCGGCTCGCAGGTGCAGTGTGTGAACATTCACGGTTGCTCTCTCCGTTTAACGGTCAGAAGGGCGAAAGTTTTACAATCACCGCCCCTCACAGTTCTGCCTGCGTGACAAACCGCCATCGACCGGCGACGCAAACGAAGCTCGCGGGCGACGCTGGAATGACGCTCGTGGACGATGTTGGGACGAGGCTCGCGCCAGCATCGTCTGCGAGTGTCGTCCCAACGTCCCCCGCGAGAGTCGTCCCAACGTCGTCCGCGAGCTTCGTCCCAGCGTCATCGGCGAGCGTCGTCGGCGAGTGCCGCGTGCCCCCACGGGGCCGCCCCCCCCCCCGGCGCTGGCCACGTGCCCCTCACCCTGGCCGCGTGCCCTCACCCTGGCCGCGTGCCCTCACCCTGGCCGCGTGCCCTCACCCTGGCCGAAGCCCGTGAGCGTGGTGCGGAGAGGCCCTCCCGGAGGCTGCAGGCAGCCCGAGAGCGGCAGCAGGATGGGCTCCGGCCGCGTCTGGCACAGCTGGCGGCACTGCGCGCACAGCCGCCCCACCATGGCCGGGTACTGCCGCTCGAAGTACTCGAGGCGAGCCAGCAGCTCGACGAAGAAGACCGACTCGTCTGTGTGGGGGGGGGGGGGGGGGGACGAACAGGAGGGCAGGTGCGGAGGGGCAGCGGTCGCGTGGATGCGCTGGTCAGACCACTCGGTGACGACAAGCGGAAGGGAGAGGAAGGAGGAAGTGAGAGTCGGGACAGACCCCGTTCCTCGAGGACAAATCACGCATCACGAAACACCCGGGGGGGTGATGAGGGACAAAATTAACCGGTGGGGCGGGGGGGGGATGAGGATTGGGCCACGGTAATCGCACCACTCAGTTGTGGATCGCGTGAGGCTGAGGGCTACATTCAGGTTCAGAGTTAGGATTAGGTTACTGGGGTCGGGGTTAGGGCAGTGCTGTGTGTCAGGGTCAGAGTTAGGGTTCGGGTCTGGATTAGGGCAGTGCTGTGCGTCAGGGTTAGGGTCGGGGTGAGGGTCAGGGTTGGGGTTAGGGTCAGGGCTGTGTGTCAGACTTAGGGTCAGGGTGAGGGTCAGGGTTGGGGTTAAGGCAGTGCTGTGTGTCAGGGTTAGGGTCAGGGTTAGGGTCGGGGTTAGGTTTGGAGTTAGGGTCTGAATTAGGTCAGTGCAGTGTGTCAGGGTTAGGGTCAGGGTTAGGGTCAGGGTCGTGTGTGCCCCACCGACGCCGTTCTCCATGAACTCGAGCGTGGGCCGGATGAGCAGCACGGCGTCGTGCACCAGCTGCGTCTCGGCGCACGGCTGCAGCTCCAGCGCCAGGGCAAAGTCCTCCAGCAGCGCCTTCACGCCCAGCGCGCTCAGCTTCAGCGACAGCCACTCCACGCTGCCTGCAGCCACGGGAGGAGGGAGGCGGGCGTCAGCCCTCTCGCCCCCGCGGTTCCTGGGGGGGGAGGCGACGGTGGCAGTGCCGATGGCGGCGATGGCGCTGGCGTTGCGTGGCCCCTACCGAATATCTCCTCCCGCAGCTGCTGGTGGCGCCCCGCGTGCGCCAGGTGGAACGGCAGCTCGCTCAGCTTGCGCAGGTTCACCTTGTCCTCGCCAAATCGTAGCGGCTGGGCGGCGACCTGTGCAGGTGGGGGGGGGGGGGGCACGGAGAGGGTGGGGAGGGGACGAGTACACGGGGCAGCGCTGTTGACTGGTGGTGCTGGCGGCGGTGATGGTGGTGGGGAGACCGTTGGCTCGAGCTATGAAGGGTGGAAGCGATGACCAAGGTAGCACAACAAGGGCCATGATGACCTTTTCACCTCAGCCCTTGACCTATAATTCTCTGGTAAAATAAGAAAAATAGTTGTTAGTTTTATTGTTATAACCGTTTGTCTCCCACCTTGATGCCAGCACTGTTCATCTGGGGCAGTCATCTCCTTATCACTCTTCTCTCGCTACTACGATGGTTATTGATTGCTGCTCCCATGTTGAGGACTTGGTCTACCAGTCTGATTATTTGATGTCATCCGTACCGTGATCAACCACCACCCACTCACCCACCCACTCCCCAGCCACTCACCCACCCACTCACCCAGCCACTCACCCAGCCACTCAACCAGCCACTCACCCAGCCACTCACCCAGCCACTCACCCAGCCACTCACCCAGCCACCCACTCACCCAGCCATCCACTCACCCAGCCACCCACCCAGCCACCCACCCACCCAGCCACCCACTCACCCAGCCACCCACCCACCCAGCCACCCACCCACCCAGCCACCCACCCACCCAGCCACCCACCCACCCACCCACCCAGCCACCCACCCACCCAGCCACCCACCCAGCCACCCACCCAGCCACCCACCACCACCCACCCAGCCACCCACCCACCCAGCCACCCACTCACCCACCCACCCACCCAGCCACCCACCACCCAGCCACCCACTCACCCACCCACCCACCCAGCCACCCACTCACCCAGCCACCCACCCACCCAGCCACCCACTCACCCAGCCACCCACCCACCCAGCTACCCACCTACACACCGGCTCACCACACCGCAGGTCACGAATCTCGATTCAAGCCACGAGTCTTAACTCGAATCTATTACAACTTTGGTCGTGCCGTTTGTTGCTGACCACTGGGCGTTTTGGGCATTCATGCCTAGTGTGCTCAGCTCCTCTATTACAAAGAAAACATACACACGCGTGCAGATACATGTACACACACTTACATACCGCACTAACACAAAGACAAAACAAAGACCAAGATCCCCCGTGTAGCCTTAACAGACTGTTTGGGCAAGTTGCTGTCAGCGAACGCCTATGAAGGCTGGCATGGCACACGAGGGGGTTGGTGGCCAGCCAGCACTACACCCGGCCGCCTTTGTCTCTCCAGTGGCGACGTCCACACCCTACACTGCGTACTCATTTGAGGCTGAGTCGACCTAGGGGAGGCCCAAGACCGGCTTGGATAATCGTCACTGGTGTTGGCCGTGAGCGGGAATCGAACCCGGGTTGCCAGGCTCACTGCGCAGCGCGCTAACAGCTACACCACCGCTCCCACACACACACGCACATACAGACACACACACACATACGCACGTGTGCGACCTCGGAGAGGCGAAGAGAGGCTCGTGTGCGCCACCGACGATGGCCGTGGGCCGCAAAATGTAACCCGGCTCCATAGTCTTTGGTTCTTTTGGTAAAGTCACGTAGATATACAATAAAAATAAATCACGACGTTTCGATTGCAACACAAGTAATCATCATCAGGTGGGAAAACCACAGCAAGATCTTTTTTTTTTGCTGAAGTGGGAGAGAGATGCCGTGGTAAGAGGTCCTCAGCCGCGGCGCGCTAACCGCTGCGCCACCGCTCCCCATGTACACACGCGACCCCGCGGGCAGCACCTTGCGGTCCGCGTGCAGCACCTCCCCGCGCTGGCTCAGGTGGATCGTCTTGCGCCGGCCCCCGGCCCAGCTGCCGCTAAAGTAGTCGGCGAGCGTCTGGTGCAGCAGGCGGCGCTCCTCGCCCTGCAGGTAGCGCTCCAGCACCGCCTCCACAAACTGCCTGCGACGGACAGGGAAACCTGCCACTCGCACATGGCACTCTCACCCTCACCTGCCACGTGTCACGTGTCACTGTCACCTGCCACTCTCACCTATCACCTGTCACTCTCACCTGTCACCTGTCACGTGTCACTCTCACCTGTCACTGTCACTTGTCACTTTCACCTGCCACTCTCACCTATCAGGGCCACCTGTCACTTTGCTGTCACACTCACCTGCCAGGTGAGTCTGGCTGGTGAGTCCGCAACCTCCCCTCTCTCCCCCTCACCCACAAGTCCGCAACTCCTTCCCTCTGGCTTCATCGCCACGGAAAGATCAAAAGGTGTCGGTGGGAGGTCGTCAGAAGACAAACCAGAACCAACGACCGGGTCTCGTGCCACGTGGTGGGAAATTACCAATTGCTTTGAGGTGTGCAATTTATGCACCGATTACAAGTTACCAATGTAATTAATTTCCACGCCTTATTTGCATTTTTCAGTCGTGAACTGCTCATCTCTGGCCAGGTGCGCCGGTCAAAGCATCGGGGACAGCTGCCGGGTGAAACTAAAACTATTTGACCCTTTTTATTTGACCAGGCAAGGCCTCAATTGAGCTATGTAGCTCTTTTTCAGAAGCGACCAGACCACAAAGAATAGCGCAACAAAGTAGCCGATCATCGTCAGTTGGAAATGTGTAGCAGCTAAATACTCTAAACGTGACGTTGATTCGGAATGTGAAGGGAAAAACTGGGAAAAATCCACCCGACCACGTGGCGAGAGGGAGAGACACAAACTCCAAATATACAACAGCAGGCATCAGGGTCGGGATTGAACCCACGACCTCCTGCATATCAGCGAGGTAGGGAAAGGGTTAACCCGTTTCTGTTCCGAGACGTCTGCAACTTGCAGGGTGTGGGTGTCCTCGTTCACCGCCGAATCTTGGAACGTTAATTTTATTTAGAGAGGCGTAGTAGCAGTGCCGCTGTTTTAAAGATATCGGTAATCACCGCGGAGAATCGTAGCGACGTGACTGCCACACTCTGCGATAGCTGGCGCCAAACTGTTGCTGCACGCCCTCCTGCGGGGCCTTGTGGGAGCCTCGCTACTGATAAAGTTATTTCATTTTAGTTTTTCTCCCGGTTTAGTTTTGATGACGTACACCTACGTCGGTTTGGGGAAGAAAAACTGATGATGGCACGGGAAAGGGTGAAACATCTACCTCGTCTGGGGTTGCCCACGGCAGAGCGGCCGTCACGAAAGTGCCCACGCCAGCACCGTGCCAGGCGAGGCGTCGAGGCGGTGAGGCGGGCGCACCTGTGGTAGAGCGCGATGACGGTGTGCCCGTCCGCCTGCCGGTCCACCAGGTAGTCGGCGAGGTCGTGGCGCAGGCGCGTCCACAGCAGAGGCGGCAGGCGCACCATGTCGCGGTTGGGCGGAGACCAGTACTGGTAGACGTCGGCCAGCACCGCGTCGTCCAGCGAGAGGCAGTCCTTGAGCTCCAGCTCCGAGAGGCCGCTCCTGGCGAGGGCCGCCCACCACGCACCTACCATTAGCGCGGACGGCTAAGTTCGAGGTACGCGTGCACGTGTGTGCGCGTACGCACGTACGTACATATGCGCGTGCGTACGGACGTACATACGTACGAGCGCATGTCACACAGAGGTGGCGGCGGCGAGGACTTTGTCTAGTGAAGTTGACGACGGTGGTGACAACAAAAGTGATTACGACGATGGTGATGATGATTATGACGATGGTAAAAGTACAATCGGGATGGTAACGACGGTGACAGCCACATTAATGGGAAAGTGATGATGACAGCCGCGGTGATGATGATGGTTGATGATGATGATTGATAATGATGATTGATGATGATAATGGTTGATGATGATGGTTGATAATGATGATGGATGATGATGATAATGATTGATGGATGATGATGATGGTTGATGATGATGATGATAATGATTGATGGATGATGATGATGATGATGGTTGATGATGATGAGTGGGTGATTGATGGTTGATGATAATGATGGTTGATGATGATGATGGGTAATGATGATGATGGTTGATGATGATGGTTGATGATAATGATTGATGATGATAATGGTTGATGATGATGGTTGATAATGATGATGGATGATGATGATAATGATTGATGGATGATGATGATGGTTGATGATGATGATGATAATGATTGATGGATGATGATGATGATGGTTGATGATGATGATGGGTGATTGATGGTTGATGATAATGATGGTTGATGATGATGATGGGTGATGATGATGATGGTTGATGATGATGATGGTTGATGATAATGATTGATGATGATAATGGTTGATGATGATGGTTGATAATGATGATGGGTGATTGATGGTTGATGATAATGATGGTTGATGATGATGGTTGATGATGATGATGGTTGATGATAATGATTGATGATGATAATGGTTGATGATGATGGTTGATAATGATGATGGATGATGATGGATGATGATGATAATGATTGATGGATGATAATGATGGTTGATAATGATAATGGGTGATTGATGGATGATGATGATGGTTGATGATGATGATGATGGTTGATGATGATGATGGATCATGATGGATGATGATGATGCTTGATCGAGGACGAGGTTGTTTTTAGATGTACAGCACAACAATCTCCTGCTCAGCACAACAATCTCCTGCACAGCTCCCTGCTGACAACGCCGACCCTAACAAGCCGATAGCACCTGTTAGTCGTCCTTCCACCGAGGCACGCACACAGAGAAAGAGAGAAAGTGCGAGGAGCGTGGCAGCACCTGGAGGCCACCACGAAGCCCAGCGCGTGGGCCACGAGCGCGCGCCCGTGCTGCGCCTCGAGGCGCGCGTACAGCGCGTGCACCGCCTCCCTCGTGTCGCTCGCCACGCGGCCGCGCAGCTCGAGGCCGAGCGGCGCGAACGAGCGCCAGCGGCGCGCCTCGTCGAACGCCAGGCGCACGAAGAGCGGCTGCCCGCAGCGGGCGAACGCCGAGAGCAGCAGGGCGCGCTGCTCGCCCGCCAGCGTGCGGCCCGCCGCCCGCAGGAGCCCATCCATCATCTCGCCGCCGTTCTCCGGCATCAGAGGCTCGACCTGCGGAGGAGGGGGGGGTGTAGGGGAGGGGGGGGGGTCGAATTACGTCATTGGAGTCTCCGACCGCCACTCGAGAAGCCGATGGTGTGCACGTGATGTTACGGTGAACGCACCCGCTGTAAAAATAATATTAACCAGGGTGGGCCCGCCGGATTGGAACTGCACACGCTGGGCCGCCCGCTCTCTTCCTCCACTCCCCCCTTTCTCTCCTCACTCACCACGACCTCTCATCCACTCCTCACCCTCTTTCCACCACTGTCGCCCCTCGCATCGTCGGTCATTCCGTCCATGCACACCCGCCCCAAACTCTCCTCTACTCCCTCTCCTCCCGCCATCTCCTCCAGTCCCTCTTCTTCCCATCCCTCTCCTCCACTCGCGCTCCCTCCTCTCCTCTCACCCTCCTCTCCTCCCACTCTCACCTCCACACCCTCCCCTCCCTCTGTCGCCTGCTTCCCCTACCCTCTCCTCCACTCCCTCTCCCTCCTCGCCCCCTCCCCCGCCGTCACCTCGAGGTACGCGGCCGCGTCGTGCACGGCGGCGCGCAGCGCGTCCAGGATGCCGTGCTCGCTGGGCAGCGTGGAGACGACCACGAGCACGCTCGCCGCGTAGCGCTTGGGCAGCCAGTGCAGGCGGTGGGCACCGTCCGCGCCCGACAGCTGGTCCAGCGAGTCCAGCACCAGCAGCAGCGGCGGCGCCTGCGGCTGCTCGCCCAAGCTCGTCAGAAGCCGGTGGAAGAACCTGCGGCGGGGAGAGGCGGCGGCGTGGTTTTACGCTTCTCCGCGCAGCGGGGAAGCGTACCGTCCTCGCGCAGACTCGCACAGAGACCCCGTAGACTCACACAGAGACCCGTAGACTCACACAGAGACACACACAGAGACACATAGACTCACACAGAGACCCGTAGACTCGCACAGAGACCCCGTAGACTCACACAGAGACCCGTATACTCGCACAGAGACCCCGTAGACTCACACAGAGACCCATAGACTCACACAGAGACCCGTAGACTCACACAGAGACCCGTAGATTCGCACAGAGACCCCATAGACTCGCACAGAGACCCCGCAGACTCGCACAGAGACCCGTAGATTTGCACAGAGACCCGTAGACTCACACAGCGACCCCGTAGACCTACACAGAGACCCATAGACTCACACAGAGACCCGTAGACTCACACAGAGACCCGTAGATTCGCACAAAGACCCCGTAGACTCGCACAGAGACCTGTAGATTCGCACAGAGACCCCGTAGATTTGCACAGAGACCCGTAGACTCGCACAGAGACCCCGTAGACTCACACAGAGACCTGTAGATTCGCACAGAGACCCCGTAGACTCGCACATAGACCCCGTAGACTCGCACAGAGACCCCGTAGACTCACACAGAGACCCGTAGACTTGCACAGAGACCCGTAGACTCACACAGAGACCCCGTAGACTCACACAGAGACCCCGTAGACTCACACAGAGACCCGTAGACTCACATAGAGACCCCGTAGACTCACACAGAAACCAATAGACTCACACAGAGACCCCGTAGACTCACACAGAGACCCGCAGACTCACACAGAGACCCGCACGGAGACCCGCACACACTCGCCCGACAGAACCCCGAGGGAGCCCCCAGACGCAGGCGACGAGTGCGGCCGGCGCTGGCGGGCGCTCACCGCACGGTGTCCGCGTAGACGTTGAGCACGTGTGCAGGCGGCCGCTCGCGCTCGTAGGCGAGGCACAGCTGCAGGCAGAGGCCCCGCAGCACCGCGTGGATGTCCGAGCTGAGCGGCGACGTCCCCAGCAGGCGCGCCGCCACCACCACCTCCTCGCCCAGCTGCTCGGGCGCCTGGCGCACCAACTCGGCCAGCACCGACGTCTTGCCGGTGCCCGACGGTCCGAACACCACCACCGGGGAATGTCCTAACGGGGGGGCGGGGGGTGGGGGGATCAGCACGACCGTCCAGTGGGTTGCAGGTGCTAGGCGGTCACGTGATGCCGCTGCTGGAGGTGCACCGGTCATCTGTGATCATCAAGAGCTTCGAAGTTCATCGGATTCCTCCGGTCTAAATCAAGATTCTGAAGGGGGGGGGGTGGGGGTTTGTTTTAAAAGAGTCACTGAATTTTCTGTTGTCTTCTGATTCTGAGCAAACGAAAACCAGGTAAGGGCGAAGTGGCTTATCACGTGCAAATGTACAGCAGCCTAATACTCTAAACTGCATGCTGTTCCTAAATGTGGAGGGAAAACCCGGAGGACCCGGACAACAATCCGCGCGACCACGTGAAGGAGAGACACGCAGACTCCAAATACACACCGGGTGCCGCCAGGAGTCGGGATCGAACCCACGGCCCCCATGCATAGCAGGCGACGGTAGCCAATGTCTGCCAGCCACTGCGGCGAGGAGGCTAACCCCCCCCCCCCTCCCACACTTCTCTCCCCCCCCTACTGCCGAGGCCTCTATAAATCAGATCTCTCGCCTACTTCAGCACTGTTTTCTTGCTGTGGTTGTCCCACCTGATGACGATTGATTGTGTTGCGATCGAAACGTCGTGTATGGATTCCTGCAGTCACGAAAGCTTCAAATCAGGATGTAACCACCCCTCGTGCGGTATACCCGGCAGATTCGGCGACGCCGCGACTTCGCAGTGGGGGGAGGGGGGGGGGTCTCGGCGGACGCCTCGGATACCTCCGGCTGCGCGCCGCCGATCGTGCAAACGTGACCACAGCGTGGCCATCAGCGCCGCGCGGCCGCACAGGCCCCGGGACTTGCGCTCGCACTGCGCCGCGTGGTGTCCCAGCTCCTGCAGCAGGCGGTCGTCCGGCGCCTGCGCCCGCCGCGCCGCCTCCACGCACCGCGTGATCTGCCGCTTCAGCTCCTGGAATGAGGTGGGGGGGGGGGGGGTCTGGTGATTGCGAGGGGTGCGGCTATAGCGGGGGGGGGAGGGGGGGCACCCTACCGCAGGTGCCCCCACGGTCCTCCCAGCGGCGTCGCCCCCTCCGTTGCCAGGTAGCGGGTTCGCCGCCCGTTGCAACCGCCGGTGCGCGTTTTATTTGTTGTGCCACGTGAGCTGAGTCTTAAGACGCCTTTTCAGGAGGGTTCCTGACAATTTTCCGCAAAAGGGGGCTGATGTTGCCGTTGCTGCTGCTGCTGTTGCGGTGTGCGTGCGATCCCCATTGAGTGATTTTCAGGTAATTGTTCAGCACTAAAATTGTTTGGTCAATACCGGTGACACTGCGTGTGTGTGTCTGTGTGCTCGCTCACAGCACTTGCCCCAACAGTCTGTTAGGGCTATATAGGGGATCTTTGTTTATGGGAGCGGTGGTGATCCGAGTTCGATTCCTGTTCACGGCCAATACCGGTGACGATTATCTGAACCGGTAATTGGCCTCCCCTAGGTCTACTCAACCTCAAATGAGTACCATCTGTGATGTATAAACATCACCAAAGGCGGCCGAGCGTGGTGCTGGCCACCCATCCCCTCGTGTGCTGTGCCGGCCTCCACAGGTGTTCGCTAACAGCACTTGTCGAACAATCTGCTAAGGCTATATGGGGGATCTTTGTTTATTTTTAGCTAAGGAAGGAGTTGGGAGGAATCCCACGCAGTACGACGCCCGAGATGGGAATCAAGCCCAGGTGCTTATTGCTGTGCGGCACGAGTGTCAGGGGTGCAACTATGGGGGGGGGGGCTGGGGGGGGCAACGATATGCGACGCATAAGGGGGCTCAGTCGGCCACAATGGGGCCCCCGAATCAACAAATAAAGCAGTTTTTAAATATAAAGAAGAATTATTCAAATTTTTATTATTAATAAAAAATAACCTGTGGTCTACCATGGACCAAGCCCACTTAACGGATCTGGCTATCGCATCAATGGAGCAGCAGCATGAAGTGGCACAGTCCACATCACCTTTGAGGAAGCGCGAGACCGATGGGGGCGGTATGAAAGCAAGACGCACGAAAACTTGTAAGTATTTGTTACCTTAAAATATATTTTATTTATTATTAATAACTGTCACTGCACGACTGTATTCCTCTACATCCAATACACGGTGCAACTATAATAGCATATACATAGTTATAGCCATACACATTATTATTGTTACCCGGGGTTAAAAAACATCCGTAGCTATTTCAGTAAAAGTGAGTCGCGAGAAAGGAGTGGGGACCCACAGTCGGATCTTGCCATACCCCCCCCCCCCACCCCCGAAGAAAGAGATCGCTGCGCCTCTGACGAGTGTTGCCATCCTGCCACCCCGAACAACCCACAATGCACTCGACGTCTGCTCCGCTCACGGCGGGCGATCAATCCCGGGGCCGTCGCTCGGAGACGAGGAGGTCGTTGTGTTTATTTTACTTACTTTGGTGCAATTGTGAACAATCGCCGTATCAGACATGAGCACATCTGATCAGCATAATCATTGGCTCACTGCAGCTCGAGACTCAGTCCCTACAAGGCGTGCGGTGAAGTTAGGAAATGTCCCAATGTGTGAGCTCGCCATTTAAAGGCCTGAAGACCGGAATCGGTGATGTCGCCGGCAATGTGTTCATCAGGGGAGGCAGAGTTCCGTTTCCAGACAGCAGAGTGAAGAAGGGAGCTCCTGTCCAGGCAACAATGTCATGGCAATTGGTGGGGGCACGGGCGTGGCTTGGCAGGGTTATGCATTATCGGGTGGCACGGCATCATCGTCCAAAATTTGGCCGAGTTTTTAAAACAACTTTGCGTTTAACTGATCTGGGTTTAAATAGAATTTCAACAACCCCCCCAGACTACGAAAACTTGGCAGGAACCGTCCTTAAAAACAACAAGAGCCTCGAGACTTTGCGAGGCATCCAACACGAGAAGAAGAAGAACAATAACAATATCGGCCGCCCGCGACACGTAGCGCCGTCGTGGTATCGCCGTCGTTCTGCCCCACGGAGGGAGCTGCGCTTCCGCACGCCCGGATCTCGCGTCGACGCCTTTGAAAGGAGCAACCCTCCCCCGGCGGCAGCCGTCCCTGCGTGGCACGAGGCGCCGTGGCCATAACTCACCGCGGTGAACGTGCGGCAGACGCTGTCCAGGTAGCGGCGGTGCGACTCCACGGCCGAGTCCACCATGCCCTCGCTCCACTCCACCTGGTACACCACGAGGCGGGCGCGGGGGGCGTTCTCGGATCCCGCCGGGGGGCCCCGGACGCCGCCGCCACTGCCGTGCGCTCGCAGTCGGCGCTTGAGCGAGCGCAGCAGCGCCTGCGCCTCGGCGTCGACGCGGAAGGCCCCGTCGGGGCCGCGCTCGGCGTCCACGAAGACGCGGGCGCGCTCGCTCGCGGGCACGCACGCGGCCACCCCGCGGGCCTCGCGCACGAACACGGAGCAACACTCGGCCGCACGGTGGGGGCGGGTGGGGGGGTTGGGGGCGCCCCCCCCGCCCCGTGCCGGCGGGGGGGGGCTCAGCACGCCCATCTCTATCTCCGCCTCGGTGACTGCGGCGCGTGCGGGGGGGGGGGGGTGTGCGCAGGTGAGTGACGCAGGGGAGATACGGGTGAGGAAGGAGAGAGATTGGCAAGGGCTCAGAGGTGAGACATTGGTGAGTGACGCAGGTGACAGAAATACAGATGAGACGCGGGAGGTAGACAAGTCACGTTTGTGCGAGAGACACGGATAAGGGTCGCAGGTGAGACAGATGAGAGAGACATGCAAAGCGCACACAGGTGACACAAACACGCAAGTGAGACCCGTGCAACAGAGGGAGTGTTGTTCACGTGTCTCATCGGGCTTGATCCATCGGGTTAAATAAAGTATACGACGTGGTGAGGACACAGCAGAAACACAGGTGAGACTCACCTGTATTAGATAGGTCACACACACGGGTGAGACATGTGGCAGAGACACGGGAAGCACACACAGTAAGAGGCACAGGTGAGGATTAGCTGTGTGAGATAGGTCACACACACACGGGTGAGGCAGGCGAGAGAGACACGGGAAGCACACACCGGTAAGAGGCACGGCTGAGACGCACTCAGGTGAGACCTCACCTGAGCAGAGGTACGCGTGGTATCTCTCTGCGGAGAGGAGACCCTTGCGCATGGCGGCACCCGCGCTGCGTCTCAGGATGTCCGAGAGGCGGGACTCCGCGTCTCTCCAGAGCGCCGCGTCCCGCGCCTGTAACTCGGCCCGCGAGGGGTCCTGTCGGGGCGCAGGGATGAAGGCGTCGTCACTGCCAAAGCCGCTGACGCCACTGACGCCACTGACGCCGCCGCCACCTAAGACAAAGATCCCCCGTGAAGCCTTAACAGACTGTTGGGGAAAGTGCCGTTAGCGAGCACCTATGAAGGCCAACATGGCACACGAGGGGGTGGGTGGCCAGCACCACGCTCGACCGCCTTTGTCTCCCTGGTGGCTATGTTTTGTTACACACCGGATCAGGTATTCATTTGAGGCTGAGTTGACCTAAGGAAAGTTCACGACCGGTTTCAATAATCGTCACTGGCCTTGGCAGCGAGCGGGAATCGAACTCGGGTCACTGGGTTCGCGGGCGCGCTAATCGCTACCACCACCACCGCCACCACCGCCACCATCAGCACCGCCACCACCAGCACCGCCACCATCACCACCACCAGCACCGCCACCACCGCCACCACCGCCACCAGCACCGCCACCACCAGCACCGCCACCACCGCCACCAGCACCGCCACCACCGCCACCGCCACCACCGCCACCACCGCCACCGCCACCACCGCCACCGCCACCACCGCCACCACCACCGCCACCACCACCGCCACCACCACCACCACCGCCACCACCACCACCGCCACCACCACCACCGCCACTACCAGCACCGCCACCACCGCCACCATCACTATACGTCGCCAACGCTCGCTCCCCTCCGCCAAATCCCGAAGCTGCTGCCCAGTCGACGCCCTGGGACCTCCAAGGTCTGCCCCTGACCGTCTCTCGCCGTGAACTCTGAGGTCTTCGCTTCCCCTGGGTGGCCCGGGCTCGTGGAGACCGCTTCCGATGTCTGCCACAAGCAATTCCCCCCCCTCTATCCCCTCCACCACCCTGCGCTCGTCACACCCAGCGCTAACCGCTCCTAACCACAGCAACAACACACGCCTGCCGTGTTCGCTAGCGGCCTTCTGCCATTGCTTCTCCGAAACTTGCCACGAAGTTCCCAGCATCCGTCTCAGACTCCTGGGCTCAAGAGCCAAAAACTCGTCTCCACGAGTCGTCGTGAGGGCGCGGCCCTCTCTCTGATCCACGCAGTGACGCACACGTTCTCTCCTGCCGTCAATAGCCTTCATCTACCCACACCTGCCAACCCCTTATCATTGCCCTACCTTATTACAGACCAATTCAGACCTTGTTGGTCACCCCGTAGCCTTATAAATCGCAACATCCATCCCACAAAGTCCCATCACAAGGGAGAAACACAAACAAATAGACAATGTTTTTGCCCGTATTAAAACGGCTGTACGCCGTACGGACCTGAAAACTCACATCTCCTGTACAATAATACGGGTAAACCGCATGGGTTGACACGGTATGTCCACTCCCCTCTATAGGGGATGGTGTGGGGGGGGGGGGGGGTCCTCATGGAGCGAGTGGAGAGAGGGGGCTGAGTGGAGTAGGGGAACAAAGGGGAGTGCAGCGGTGGCTACCACAGCTGCTGCTGCTGCAGCTGCTGCTGCTGCCTGTTATCGTCTACTTCTGTGCTGGGAGCATCAGCGAGGGTCGGTGGATCACCACACACCGATGGTGTAGTGAAACTCGCTTCCCGTGGACGACGAGGAGGTTGCCATACCCTGGCTCGCCAGGAGAAGGCGGTTACGTCAAGGGGGCGAATAGTCATCTGTTTCCATCTGAACGGGGATGGAGCGTTGCCAACTCGCCCAAGGCGCGGGTTTTGTGCGGTTGCTCCGCTTTCCTCCCACCTGGTACAGGGACTCCTCTACTTACGAACATTCGACTTACGAACTTTCAGAGACACGAAAGAACCTGGTCCGTATGTCGAGTTGCCTGTTCGGACCGCGAGTCGCGAGTTCAACCACCGCGCAATAGATGGCGGTGCTTGCTGGGTAACATTACCCAGCATTCCCTGAATTTCTGCCTGTGCAGCCGCGATTGTCTCTTGCTGTGTTGCCGGCTAACGACGACGTTTTCTCTGCTTTTCACGAACATCGTCAACCTCTGCACTGTCTCAGACGCGTCAGAGTGGGGAAAGTGTTGAGGGTGGTCGGAAGAAGTGACGCACTCTTACGATGGAAACTGAAGTGGACGTGATGAAGCGTTGTGAACCGGTGGCATCTACAGGAGAATCCACGACTTGTTTGGTGGACACGCCGTACAACATGTTGGGAGTCGACAGGAGTAAAGTTAACGACCAACGAACAAATCGACTTACGAACAGACCTATGGATCCTAACTCTTTCGTAAGTAGAGGAGTCGCTGTCCACAGTAGTCGTTGTGAATTAGCTGAAAACATTGTCAAATAAAAACGCAATGTAGCGGCAGCAACAGCAGCAAGACCCTCCTAAAAAACGACTCCTACGATAAACGATTAAATGTCTAACTATAATCTTGATTTGAAGATTTCGTGACTGTATGAATCAATACTATTTGTTTTTTTCGGTAAAGTCACGTAGGTAGAAAAATAATCGATCACGACGTTTCGATCGCAACACAAGCAATCGTCATCAGGTGGGACAACCACAGCAAGAAAAAAACTGCTGAAGTAGGCATCAGTTTTTCAGCAGTTTTTTCTTGCTTTTATTGTCCCACCTGATGACGATTGCTTGTGTTGCGATCGAAACGTCGTGATCTATTATTTTTCTCACTATAATGTTTGTCTGTTTGTTTTAAACGTGCAGATCAGAGAGAGAGAGAGCGAGCGAGCTAGCGAGAGCGTCGGCTGGCCTGGTCGTCGAAGTGCGGCAGCAGGGCGGTGATTGGCTGGAGCAGGAAGAGCGGCGGCTCCGCGTTGGCGTCCCGCCAGAACCACGCGTCCAGCTGCTCCGTCTCCTCGCGGGTCGAGCAGCCGCGCAGCGCCTCCATCTCCGCCTCGGGGATGGTGCGCGGGAGCGGTCGGTAGCCGTAGCGGTTCCCCAGCAGGGCCTGCGAGCGAGCCGGGAGGAGACGGGGGGGATGGGGGGGAGAGACGGGAGTGGGAGAAGAGAGCGGGGAATGGTGGGAGAGGTCGGGGGGGGGGGGGAGAGTGGAGAGAGAGCGGGGGGGGGGGGAGAAAGGGAGGGCGGGAGGAGAGGGGGAAGGGAGAGGAGAGATGGAGGGGAGAGGTACAAGAGAGCAGGGAGTGGTGGGATAGGTGGGGGGAGTGGGCAGTGAGATAAACAGAGGAGAGAGAGCGGGAGGGGAGGGGGAGAGGAGAGAATCAGGATATGTATTGATCCTGGAGGAATCCGATAAGCTATCAAGCTCTTTTTCACAGATGTCCAGTCGCGGCACGGGGTCAGAACGTCACAACAACAATACGAAAACACGATAGGAATGCAGCGTATAGGAAATGTAAGCAAATTAAAAAAAACATACAAAAAATACTATTTGTCTTACCAGGAGAGAGGGGGAGAGAGGAGATCGGGAGGATAGGGGGGGGGCAGCAACGCAGTGATTGGCACAAGGCGCTGTGAACCCAGCCACACGAGTTCAATTCCCGGCCACGGCTCACATGAGCAACCAGTGGACGTCTGCGAAAACACGGAGCTTAATAGCTCATCGGATTACTCACTCCAGTATGAATACAAATTCGGAAAGTAATCTGAAATTATTCTGATTCTGAACCGGTCCCGAGTTCCCTCCTTCATCGACCGGCACTGACCGGCGTGGTGAAGTATGGTCAGACAACCCTCGTGATCTAAACAGCGTGGGGAGGCCTTCATACTGGCATGTATTGACCAAGAGCTGTAAGTCGTCGTTGTTGTTGAATCGTCACCGCTTCCAACTCTGTTCCCCCGTAATATAGTTGTTTTGGGTTAGATCGCATAAATATAAATGTGTCGTTATACCCGCCACCACCCGACACCGCTAATTAATTAGTAAGGGTTGTCACGTAAACAGAACGCGCCAATTCGTTACTAGTACAGCACACCGGTGTATGGGAGAGTAAAACGCACAACATTTACAACGTTTCGCCAATAATTACAACGAAGCACCATCAGAGCGGACAACCGGAGTTGTGGAGAAATCCTCCTGCTTCGGTAACGCCCGCGAAGACCTCGGCTTCGTCCGCTCGATTCCGAGTTTCTCCAATCTTCTGCTTACGGCTAATATCGGCCGCGAAAGCCAAACGCGTGAATCTGTTCCCCCCGACTCACTCACCACGAAGGTGGGGCCCACAGACGTCTTCTGGCAGCTCTCGATCTCCCGCAGACAAAGCTCCGTGGTCATGTGGTCCACCGCCACCGTGTCACGTACTCCCCAGCGCATGTCTACCACCTGCGCCACCACCACCACCACCACGGGTGCAGGGGTGAGCAGACGGGTAGGTGGGTGAATGGGTGAGTAAGAGGGTGAGTGCGTAGGTGGGTGGGTGAGTGGGTGAGTAAGAGGGTGAGTTGGTAGGTGGGATGCGTGGGTGGGTAAGCGGGTGAATGGGTGAGTAAGAGGGTGAGTGGGTAGGTGGGTTGGTGAGTGGGTGAGTAAGAGGCTGAGTGGGTAGGTGGGTGAATGGGTGAGTAAGAGGGTGAGTGGATAGGTGGGTGGGTGAATGGGTGAGTAAGAGGGTGAGTGGGTAGGTGGGATGCGTGGGTGGGTAAGCGGGTGAATGGGTGAGTAAGAGGGTGAGTGGGTAGGTGGGTGGGTGAGTGGGTGAGTAAGAGGGTGAGTAAGTGGGTGAGTAAGAGGGTGAGTGGGTAGGTGGGATGCGTGGGTGGGTGAGCGGGTCAATGGGTGAGTAAGAGGGTGAGTGGGTAGGTGGGATGCGTGGGTGGGTGAGCGGGTCAATGGGTGAGTAAGAGGGTGAGCGGGTGAGTAAGAGGGTGAGTGGGTAGGTGGGATGCGTGGGTGGGTGAGCGGGTGAATGGGGAAGTAAGAGGGTGAGTGGGTAGGTGGGTGGGTGGGTGGGTGAGCGGGTGAGTAAGAGGGTGAGTGGGTAGGCGGATGCATGGGTGGCATGCTGGTGAGAGGATTGATTGGTAGGCGGGTGAGTGGACAGGTTAATCAGTGGGCGAGCGAGCGGGTGAGTGAGCAGGGGAGTAAACAAGTGAGTTGGCGGGTGAGTTGGTGTCTTGGTTGGTTAGTGGGAAGCGGCGGTGTAGCGGTCAGCGCGCCGCGCTACGAACCCGGCACCCCGAGTTCGATTCCTGCTCAAGGCCAACACCAGTGACGATGACCTGAACCTGGTCAGCCTCAGATGAGTACCTGGTGCGATGCATAAACATCGCCACGAGGAAAACAAGGCGGTCGGGCGTGGTGCTGGTCACTCGTGTGCCGTGCCTGCTGTCATAGGTGCTCCTGGCTAACATAATTTTCCCCAAGGGTTTGCTGAGGCAACACGTACGGCGTATATTTGTGTTGATCTTCATTCGCACCGTACGTAGCCAACCGTGCTAATCGGCGGCGCGATGTGGTTAGTGGGTGAGTGGGTTGGTGAGAGAGGTGTGCTCACCTCGAAGGTGAGGCCCCGCTCTTGGCAGAAGGCCTGCAGCTCGGGGTAGGCCTTGTCCAGGAGCGTGTCTCTCTCCGTCTGCATGTCTGCGGGGGTCACCGTGGCCACGCCACCAGGGTCACAGAGACCCGCACCACCACCACCAGGGTCTCAGAGACCCCCACCACCACCAGGGTCACAGAGACCCCACCACCACCAGGGTCACAGAGACCCCCACCACCACCAGGGTCACAGAGACCCCACCACCACCAGGGTCACAGAGACCCCCACCACCACCAGGGTCACAGAGACCCTGTAACCATGGGGGTCACAGAGACCCCCACCACCACCAGGGTCACAGAGACCCCCACCACCACCAGGGTCACAGAGACCCCCACCACCACCAGGGGAGTCACAGAGACCCCGTAACCATGGGGGGTCACAGAGACCCCGTAACCATGGGGGGTCACAGAGACCCGGGACTCGAGCTCACAAATGCACGGTTGCTGCCAGCGACGGCATCACCCGCACATTCTCCATCCGCTGCTCGATGGAAGTCTCGCTCGTGAGCCCTCCGTGTGCCTGTGACCCCTGAGCCATGCTGCGGTTGTTTGGGTGGCTGCAGCTACGATCTGCCCACTCCACCCCGCGACTCGTTTGGAGATAGGTTAAGTTCCTCGCCTTACATTATCGTCTTATCGAGTGGCCTATTTACTAATTGATTGGAATGACGGGCTCCTTAAATCACCAATTGTCAAACCGATGGAACCGGTTCTACGATCCATAGAGTTTTCGAATTTACTGATAAACTGCTTGCTTTAACTGACCCCCTGACTGATGAACTGGTTGGCGAATTAATTTTCCTCCTAACTAGCCGATTCACTGCCTGGTAAAATGGTCCTCCGGACTGACTGAAGGACCGGCTGACTAGCTGACTAAACTCCTGACTGACTAACGCATCGGTTGATTGGGTGACTGATCTCCGGATTGACTGACGGGCCGGTTGACTGGCTGACTAAGATTCTGACTGACGGACCAGTTGACTGACTGACTGAGCTCCTCACTGACTGGCTGACTGCACTCCTGACTGACGGATCGGCTGACGGGTGACTGAGCTCTTGATTGACTGACGGACCGTTTGACTGGCTGACTGAGTTCCTCAATTACTTCCGGACCGGCTGACTGGCTGAGTGAGCTCCTAACTGACGGACTGGCTGACTGAGCTTCTCACTGACTGACGGACCGGTTGACTGGCTGACTATTGGACCGAAATAACGATGTCTGTAGACCCCGCATTTAAACCAAATACGTCCCTCGGTGTGAGAGCGAGATCAGCCCTCCCGGCAAGACGAACGGACGGAGCCTGAGCCACCGATGAAGCCGAGCGTCCCCCCTCACTGACCCGAGAAGGTGGAGCTGAGGAAGACGCGCACGAGGTTGGAAGCCTCCGGCAGCTGCACCCCGAGGCGGCCACGCACCAGGGCTCTCTTGTGGCCCCATTTCTGCCAGGCCTTCTTCATGGCCTCCTGAGCCCCGCGATGTCGGTGTGGCTGTGGTATCCTTCCCCCGCGCCTCCGATTAGCGCGGTTGGCTGCGTACGGTGCGAAAGAAGTTTAACATGCGGTGCATACACTCATAGGTTACCACTCGTCCTCACACATCGCCGCTCCTCACTCACCGCCACTCACCGCTCCTAAAAACTAAACGCTTCTTACGACATAGAACTCCTCACCCTCACCCCTCACTACTGAACCCTCATCACTCTGCGCCTCTCACCACTCACCAACTCCTCACCACTATCCTTCATTCACGACTCACCACCACGACTCGATCCATGACCCTCTCTAACCCATCACTCTATCGACCTGAACCAAACTCCAACCCAAACCCCTCTAGCTCTAAACCTTAATCCGGTAGTTCTCAACCTTGTGACTGCTCTCCCCGCCGTGTTGAATGCTCATTATAGATTTGAAGTTTTCGTGACTGCAGGGATCCATACTTTTGGTTCTTTCGGTAAAATGTATTTTATACCTACGTGACTTTATCGAAAGAACCAAAGAGTATGTTGTTGAATGCTGTTTCAACCGAGTGTACACCCACCCCTCACCCCGCCACGCCTCGCCTCACCCAACATGGTTCTGGGAAAATAAATGTACGAATAATGAACGTCGATATTTTTTTTTACCAACTTGTCCATTTTGTGAGATACATCCATCCCAACGTGCTAAGTGACTGCAAGCGAATAATAATAATACAACAACAATCAACGGACGCGCTCGCTGATTACTCGAGAACACCGCTTTGTTTACGATCAATGAGTTTAGAAAGGTATGTTTAGACCGCTCTAGTGTTACCACACGGATTGCAATGTGATCCCAGGGAGTTAATATTGGCAGATTCACACGCGATCATTCACCGGTGACTCTCACGCACGATATCACTGCGCACATTTATACACCACCTCACGGACGCGCACCCCCCCTGGGGGACATTGTCACGAACCCCCCCCCCCCCAAGGGGGTCCGCGTAACCCCCCCAGGGGGTCTATGTAACCCCCCCCCTCCCCCCCGCTGCCCTAGCGCCCACGCACCCCGGGGCAGCAGCAGCAGCCGGCAGTGGCTCCGTTCCGGGCGCTCTGCGCGGGCTCTGCGCGGGGAATTTTGGGGTCCGCGGCTGAATAGGACTGAGGGGAGGTGGGCGGGGGGTCGAGGGGGATGGGGAGGGGGGTAGGGAGGGAGGGGGGTCTCCCGTGTTCCCCTACGGCACCCACCGCCCCTCCCTCTCCTGCCCCGGCACAGGTAGACCCCAGGTGTGTAGGCGCACGCGTGCCCAGCGTTACCTGCACGCACGTCCACCTGCGCGCTCTGTTCAAGTGGTAACGAAGCCCACGCTACATTGTTTCATTTTATTTGACCAGGAAAGCCCCACTGAGCTGCTACGTAGTTCTTTTTTCAGAAGCGACCTTCCTATCACGAATGAAAGCTCGACGAAGTGGCTCATATTGCGGAAGTGTGCAGCGGACAAATCCTCGAAACGCGTGACGTTGATTCTAAACGTGGAGGGGATAACCGGAGGACCTGGAGAAGAATCCACGCGACCACGGGGAGAGACAAAGAGACGCGGCAAACTCCAAATATACAGCAGCAGGCGTCAGGGTCGGGATCGAACCCACGACCTCCTGCATACCAGGCGAGGTGGTTAACATCTCGTCACTGCGAGATTCACAATAACAACAATGCCATTTGCCCCCCTCCCAGGAGAGCTTCGCTGAGTCACGAGGATTCTGCCGCACCGGGACGTTTGGCCACGAGGCCGAGCAATGCGAGTCCGGCACCGCGTGGGAGGGAAGACAACTCAGCCGGAGACAACTAAACCTCCGCACAGATAGCTACAAGAATCCGACCGCACCCCCGCTCGCCTTCGCATGTACGCACCTGTGCCCGTGCGTGTCCACGTTCACCTGCTCAGGTGAGCTCGCACGCGGGCAGGTGAACGGTATCCACCGCGTGCGGGAACCGATGCGTTGCTCCGGCTAAACGCTTCGGTTACCCAGTTACCTCCTCGCCCCCCCCCCGCGCTCCCCCTCTCTTCCCATCACCCCGGGCTCTTTGTTGGCTCTCGCCCGAGCACGGACTGAGCTCCACACGCACGCACACAGAGAGTGTTTGCGGAGGGTGCGAGGGTGCAACGGGCGCAGTGAATAGAAGGGGCGAGTTTCCACAACAGAAACACGACTCGCCACGGGTGCGACACCGCCTCGCGTGGCTCACCTGTGCTCACCTGTGCTCACCTGCGGGCCGAGGGGCCAGCCAGCTAATGGAGCCGGTGTCACGTGCCCCGTGTCCCGTGGAAGGAAGGGCGCGCACAGCTGTCCCCGGAGTGTCACATGCGAACTGACCACGTGGCGCTCCTGGTGTGAGCACAGCGCCCCATACACACACACCACACACAACTATACACACACCATACACACACCATACACATACAACTATACACACACCATACACCCATCATACGCACCATACGCACCATACACACACACCACACGCACCATACACACACACCACACACACCATACACACACACCACACACACCATACACACTCCACACACACCACACACACCATATACACCACACATACCACACACACACACCGCACACACCATACACACCATACACCCCACACACCACACCATACACCCCACACACCACACCACACACACATACACCCTATACACACACCCCACACACCCACACACATACCCCACACACATACACACCCCATACACACACCATACACACACAATACACAAACACCCCATGCTCGTGCATTCACACACACGCCCCACACATTCAGAAATGCAAAGATCCACCACCGTGGTTGGTCGCGTGCGTGCGTTCATTCACGAAGTCGCCGTGCGAGCTGGGCAGGAGGCATTGGGAAATGCCGAGCCCACGCCGTAACTAGAGAGCACACACAATAAGACACGTCTAACCCGAACACTACAACTAACAATAGCACACTAAGAATCACAATTAAGAGACAAACAAACATATACAGTGTATTGTAAAACAATATATATATAATTATAAAAAATTTACTTTTGTTTCTACGTTAAAATCTAATTCATGATCTTCAAACTAACGGGGATTCTGCTCCGGTGCACGACCTCGGCGATTTGAAACACCGTGAGAGAGGCACCAAGCTTGAATTCCGCGAGAGCAAAGAAGTGTTTGTGCGTGACTGGGCTTGGCTCGCTGACTGAGCTTGGCTCGCTGACTGGGCTTGGCTCGCTGACTGAGCTTGGCTCGCTGACTGAGCTGGACTGGATTTTAAGCTTTCGTGACTGCAAGGATCCATACTCTTGGTTTTTTCGGTAAGGTCACGTAGGTTAAAAAAGAAAACAACTAAATTAAATCACGATGTTTCGGAGGCAACACAAGCCTCCGTCTTCAGGTGGAACAGTCACAGCAAAATCACTGTATCAAGTGAAGAGAGCTCGAAGAGAGCTCTAATTTAATTTATTTGTTTTCTTGTTTAACCTACGTGACTTTACCGGAAAAACCAAAGAGTATGAGCTGGACTGGGCTGGCTCGCTGACTGAGCTGGGCTGGCTCACTGACTGTGCTGGGCTGGCTCACTGACTGAGCTGGGCTGGCTCGCTGACTGGGCTGGGCTGGCTCACTGACTGGGCTGGGCTGGCTCACTGACTGAGCTGGGCTGGGCTGGCTCGCTGAGCTGGGCTGGGCTGGTTCGCTGACTGGGCTGGGCTGGCTCACTGACTGGGCTGGGCCACTGACTGAGCTGGGCTGGGCTGGCTCGCTGACGAAGCTGGCTGGGCTGGCTCGCTGACTGGGCTGGGCTGGCTCACTGACTGGGCTGGGCTGGCTCACTGACTGAGCTGGGCTGGGCTGGCTCGCTGACTGAGCTGGACGCGAGTCAGGGGTCGGCAAGCCTGCGGCTCTTGAAGGGAGGGACTGGCTTCGTACAATTGTGGTTCCTGAAAGATTGAGGGGTTTTTTTGTTCTTGAATTAAACCGAATTCGAAATGAGAAATAATGGCTCGATCTTGTTGTTTCGGTTGCAGCCCCCCTCCACCTCCCCCTCTGGGCCGGATGGTTGTAGCTGGTGGCCGTGGCTGCTGCAGCGACTCTCCCTCCCTCTGTGGTGAATCTCGCCGCGGTGATCGCCACGCCACAGCATCCCGCCACCGTCTGGGTGCGGATTCCGTCCGGTGTGCGCTCCGTGCTCATGTCCAGAGGAGGGTCTTTAACGTCCCCATGGGCGGAGGGGGCAATGCCCCTCCAAGTATGAGAGGCAAAGCGAACCCCCCCCCCCCAAGCCCCCGAAATATAGAAGTCAAATTCCACTATGCCCCCCCCCCTCCACTTAGACATCCACGCAGCCGCCAGCGCTGTGGGTGGTGAAGGTAAACCGCTGGGAGCCGGATTCGTGTGACGATGATAACAGCGACGATAACAATAATGACGATACTCTTTTGTGCTTTCGGTAAAGTCACGGAGGTAGAAAAATAATAGATCGTCAGGTGGGACAACCACAGCAAGAAAAAACTGCTGGGGTTTTTGGCGATCGAAACGTCGTGATATATTATTTTTCTACCGACGTGACTTTACCGAAAGAACCAAAGAGTATGGATTCCTGCAGTCACGAAAGCTTCAAATCAATCATGACAAGCGGATCCAAGCTCAGGGCTGCTCGAAAGCCACCAGATCCGGGCAGAGATCGAGAGGAGGCCTTGAGGTGCTGCTTGAAAAGCCAGAGTGCGATTGCTCCGAGTCGCGAATCGTGACGGCGAGTTACGTTCCGTGGTGCCGCTCTGCTCGCACCGCGGCGCCGGCGTCTTGGCGATTTGCTCGCTTCCCGTTCCTCTCCGTTGAACTCCTGTATTGTGTTTGTTGTGTTTGTTGTGACTTCGTGACGTACTCTCTGGTTCTTTCGGTAAAGTCACGTGGATAGAAACAATAATAACAGAACACGACGGTGAGGATGCTTGTGTTGCGACCGAAACGTCGTGTTCTTTTATTGTTTTTTTCTACCTACGTGACTTTACCGATAGAACCAGAGATTATGGATTCCTGCAGTCACGAAAGCTTCAAATCAACTTTGTGACTTCTTTACTGGAACCATCTGTGATGAAAAGAGCTTTAGACCTCATCGGATTCCTCCTCCTCCAGGATGAACAAAGATTCTGATTCTTTGCACGCCGTGAGCACCTCAACCACGGATTGTTATTTTAAAGGGCACCCCCAGCGGCAGGTTTATAAAACTAGTTTATTATACCAGGTAGGGCCAACTGAGCCTCAACCTGTAGCTCTTTTTCAGAAGCGACCTGGCTATCAGAAATGAAAGCTCAACGAAGTGGCCTTATCATCAGGTGGACATGGAAAGCAACGAAAAAACTCTGAACGTGTGATGTTGATTCTAAATGTGGAGGGGAAAAAACGGAGGACTCGGAGAAAAAAGATCCACGTGACCACGAGGAAAGAGACATGCAAACTACAAATATACTATTTAAACTATTTTAAAACTATTTAAACTATTTTTAACCAGGTAACGCCCACTTAACTATATATAGTTATTTTTCAGAAGCGACGTGGCTATCACAAATGATTGCTCAACGAAGTGGAGTCGGGAGAGTTGGGAGGAGAGCGAGGGGAGGGGAGAGTCGAGAGAGAATGGTTTTGTCAATGTTTGCCCAGGTGGTATGCTAACTTCGATTTTTAGAATGGAATTTGACACTCAAAGTTACGTGTTGTAGATTTATGTTTGTTTTGCCAGACATCACGTTAGTCCGCTGCTGGGTAAATGGGGATCGTTGGCAATATTTGGCATTGAATTTTTTTTGTCTCGAGACAAAATCGTGGATGTTTGTCGTTGCAGCAGTTTTTATACCACATTCAGTGTCTCCTGGCGACTGGGAATCGCACTTTTACCAATTGCACGCGACTTTTTTGTTGCATTTCGCTGGCAAAGTTCGCCGTTATGTTGCAAGCCACCCCCTCCCCTTGGCTTACGGCTTCAATTAATCGAAACCCCGGTTCAATGACAATATTCGTAAAACGTCACTCCAAGTCAATTTAAATGCAACGGCGCCCCCTAGTGACATCATCGCTTACTTTGCAAGGAGGCAAACACCGGCGTCAGAATATTTACAATTTTTGGTTGTTTCACCAGGTAACCCCCACTGAGCAATTAACGCTCGTTTTTAGACGGGACCTGGCCACAATTCTAGCTCAACTAAGTGGCTTGTCGTGTGGAAATTTACAGCAGCCAAATAATTCTAAACGCGTGACGTTGATTCTAAATGTGGAGGGGAAAACCTGGAGGACCTGGAGAATAAGCATAACCAGTAAAAACAAAGTTTTTCACTATAAATCCTTTATATGCGTGGCGGTTAGAGTCCTCTCGTCCTCTGGCTTGAGATGGCTGCCACCTATGGGTCAGATGATTGCATTGCACCATTAAGCAATTGGTAATTAAATATATTTTTGTCCTAAACAGTGTAAAATTTTGGAAAAAAAGGTTTTCACGAACATTAATTGTCACGCACAACGAGTCTGTGTGGAAAATGTCAGCTCGATTGGATCACGGGAAGTGGGTTAAAAAACGACCAAAAGATTTGCACGGTCCTAAGCAAGCAAGCGAACTTAATATAAAGGATTTAAAAATCCACATGACCACGGGGAGAGACACCTTAAACTCCAAATATACAGCAGCACGCGTCAGGGTCGGGGTCGAACTCACGGCCTCCTGTACACCAGGCGAGGAAGTTAACATCTCCTCGCCACCGTGCTACCCACTACCCCACGTGGGCTCGGTGCGAGCAGTCCATGTCCTGCTTATTACATCATTGTCATTTTTGACATTTGTATTGCAGATTTAGTTTATACGTGTATGAAATATTTAGTAAAATTGAATAAACACATTCCCCGTTTGACTTTGCGTGATTCAATCGGAAATACAAATGAGATCGAGTCAGCTTAACACGTCGTGGGTTAGATCGCGTACATTTTTAACCGAAACGTCGGACTCGAATTGTAAACGTTGTAGTGAGTTTACTCTCCGACACACCGGTGTGCTATACGAGTAACTGGCAGGTTTTGTTTACGTGACAAACCTTACTAATTGGCCGTCTCGGGTGGTGGCAGGTTTTAACGACTTTTACGCGAAGTATCCCAAAACAACCTTTTATGGATGAGCTGTTAACGACCTCACTTGGTATACAGGTCGTGGATTTGAACCTGGGACCCCATGGCTCACAGCCCGGCACGTAG